ATAATACATTTTATGTTTAAAAAGAAGAAGAAGAAGAAGAAGATAGCAGGAGGGGAAGAATGAAGGGGGGGAAATCGGAGGGGGAGACAAACCATGAGAGACGATGGACTCTGAGAAACAAACTGAGGGTTCTAGAGGGGAGAGGGTAGGGGGATGGGTCAGCCTGGTGATGGGTATTAAAGAGGGCATGTTCTGCATGGAGCACTGGGTGTTATACGCAAATAATGAATCATGGAACACTACATCAAAAACTAATGATGTAATGTATGGTGATTAACATAACATAATAATAATAATAAAAGAATATTTATTTGAAAAGAAAAAACAAAGGAAAGCCTTCAAGTCCTCAAAGCAACTACAGAAAAGGATACACGACCCTCTAGAGAGTATCAGTTAAACGGACAGCTGCTTTTACAACGGAGACTGAAAACCAGAAGGCAGTGGCCATTATCTTCAAAATGCTAAAACACCTCCCAACCTAGAATTCTATACCAGTGAAAACATTCCTCACAAATAAAAGGAAAATTAAGACATTTCAGATAAACAAAAGCTGAGAACTTTGTCACCAGCAAATCTACACTACAGAAAATTAAAAAATGTGTTCTTCATGCAGAAAGGTTCCAGAACAGCAATAATAGTCTTGTTTTTTAGAATTAAAATACATAACAATAGCATACAAATTAAGAGAGAAATAACTAGAGACAAAGCATTCTAATGTCTTTACATTATAAAGTGGGTAAAAGTACAAGAAAGAATTAGTTGTTGAAAAATCAAAATATGAATATTATAAACCCTTGAACATCCAATAAAAGAGTATATATCTCTCAAGCTAATAGAAGAAAGGAAATAGACACTCCATCATTCAAAAAGAAGGCAATATTGCTTAGAAATACCAAAGCAAATAATTCTTTAACACAGGCAATAAAAGGCTGAGAAAGCAACCTAGCTTAACAGATACTAAAATGGAATAAAAAAGGGGCGCCTGGGTGGCTCAGTCATTAAGCGTCTGCCTTTGGCTCAGGTCGTGATCCCAGGGTCCTGGGATCGAGCCCCACATCAGGCTCCCTGCTCTGCTGAGAGCCTGCTTCTCCCTCTCCCACTCCCCCTGCTTATGTTCCCTCTCTCACAGTGTCTCTCTCTGTCAAATAAATAAATAAAATCTTTAAAAAATAATAAAATAAAATAGAACAAAAAACTGGAAACCTGCTATCATATTTAGAAAAAGGGGAAACAAGCACAACTAAAACAGAAAGATAAAATAATTAAGTTAACTGTTACTATAGTACAAGAATGAATGGATAGCACAATGTAACCAATAATAGCCTGAAAATCAAACTCATCATTGCATTCTCCAACACTGGTCAAGATCTACTGATACTGAGGTGACGTTTTTGTAAATCCATAGTGAAAATGTGTAATGACTGAAAACCTGTTCAAGTTTTCAAGAATGGAAATTAGCTTGATTGAAAAAGAAAAACCAGTTCTGCCATTTTCAGACTGGGAGATAGACACAGATTAAAGCCACCTGAAAAGTTAATAGGAGACACTGCTGCTCCCAAGGCAGTGTAGCAGTTATAAAATATCACCTCTTTGAGTGACTATTGCTTTCTCACTGATGACACCCCCAGATCCTCTCTGCTGTACCCATTTACTTCTAGGGAGGCCTAATTGCTAAACTACCCTTACCTCTTGCCAGTACCCAACCCTGGCTAAAGGTTGGGTACTTCTTCTAATCTTGCATTGGAAACAACAACCAATCCAGAAGTTGTCCCTGCTTTCCTTCGACTCCCTTTAGAATCCTTCACCTGAGGCCTAAACTTGCAAAGTCTCTCCTCCTCCTCCACCATTCTTCTAGAATGGTTGCTGAAAGTCAGCAAATCTGATTTTGTCAGACTCTAGGTTTGTCCCTGCAAGACTCTGGCTGATTCATTTCTAATAACTCTCTCTTTTTTTTTTTATCTAATAGCTCTTTTTTTTAAAAGACAACACAGTCAATGAAATTGAGCCATTCTCTTACACCATACCCAAAGATAAACTCAAAATGGATCAAAGACTTAAATATGAGACAGGAATCCATCAAAATCCTAGAGGAGAACATAGGCAGCAAACCCTTCAACCTCGGTCGCAGGAACTGCTTGCTAGGCACGCCTCCAAAGGCAAAGGAAACAAAAGCAAAAATGAACTCTTGGGACTTCATCAAGGTAAAAAGCTTCTGCACAGCAAAGAAAACAGCCAACAAAACTAAAAGACAACCTATGGAATGGGAGAAGATATTTGCCAATGACATATCAGATAAAAGGCTAGTATCCAAGATCTATAAAAACCTTATCAAACTCAATACCCAAAAAAACAAATAATCCAGTTAAGAAACGGGCAGAAGACATGAACAGACATTTCTCCAAAGACATACAAATGACCAAGAGACACATGAAAAACTGTTCAACATCACTTGGCATCAGGGAAATACAAATCAAAACCACAATGAGATACCACCTTACACCAGTCAGAATGGCTAAAATTAACAAGTCAGGAAACAACAAATGTTGGTGAGGACCCTCTTACACTGTTGGTGGGAATGCAAGCTGGTACAGCCACTCTGGAAAACAGTATGGAGGTTCTCAAGAAGTTCAGAATAGAGCTACCCTATGACCCAGCAATGGCACTACTGGGTATTTACCCCAAAGATACACGTGTAGTGAAACAAAGGGGCAACTGCACCCCAATGTTCATAGCAGCAATGTCCACAATAGCCAAACTGTGGAAAGAGCCATGATGTCCTTCAACAGATGAATGGACAAAGAAGATGTGGTTCATATATACAATGGAATATTACTTAGCCATCAGAAAGGATGGATATTTACCATTTACATTGATGTGGATGGAACTAGAGGGTATTATGCTAAGTGAAATAATTTAATCAGAGAAAGACAATTATCATATGGTTTCACTCATATGTGGAATATAAGAAACACTGCAGAGGACCATAAGGGAAGGAAGGGAAAACTGAATGGGAAGAAATCAGGAAGAAAAACCATGAGAGACTCTTAACTCTGGGAAACAAACTGAGGGTGTGGAAGGGAAGGTGGGTTAGGGGATGAGGGGACTGCGTGATGGGCATTAAGGAGGGCATATGATGTGATGAGCACTGGGTGTTATATGCAACTGATGAATTATTGAACACTACATCTGAAACTAATGATGTACTATGTGTTGGCTAATTGAATTTAAATAAAAATTTTTTAAAAAGACAATGCAGCCTTTATATGCTAAATGTGTTCAAGGTATAAGGCTGCCTGCATTCTGTGACAATGTTCTCTACCTTTTTGAGATACTTAGACTGTCTTATAGGTTATGAAATAAGGGTGACACCTTTTACTTTTCTAAGCAACAGTGCTAAAAACAAACAAAAATGTGCTTGTCTTATTTAGACTACAACCGTCTTTAAATTTTTAATAGTTTACAAAATTTCAATGTGTATGAATCACTGCTATATTAAGGAACAAAATAATAAAAAAAGGGGGGAATAATGTGATGTATAAAAGGCATTATGACAGTTTAGAGGGTAAATGCTTTTAAATATCACTCCCATCATTCACCAAATCAAATTCCAATTAAATATTTTTTCTTCTAAACCTACATTTTAAAAACCAAACCACTCAAAAAGAGAACACAGCTAAAACTGATATCAAAACAGTAATGGATAAGCAGTTTCCAAGCTTTGAAGCCTAGAAAGAAATTACTCATTTTTGTTAATTTCAGCTTGTAGAATGAGGATAATTTTATTACTTGCCAGGCCTGGCTCTCAATGAAAGCTATCTTCAAAGACAAAATTTTCTAGAACAGTATTCTCTCCTAGGATTCATCACTGGGGCTATGACTTCTATGGCAAGTGAGGATATCCAAGGAGGAGAGTAGTTACGGACCACTGACCTACATCCATCTGTACTGGCCACTGCCTCTGAAAGTTAGACTTTTGCATGCAGGCCACCGTGACCCTGTTTAAAGGGAGGCCTTTCAAAGCTCTCAGTCCAGGCTCTATCCACAGAATGGATATTCTAGAGATATCAAGTGGAGACTCTGACATCCTAAGAACAATGAAGAAAATACTAAAAGGGTCAACCTTTAGACTGGTCTAATAAAGTCTCAGAGCTAGAAATTCAGACTATAAATTCTTGAACTAATTACTTAGGTGCCAGCACTCACGTGGTAAGGGTGTTGAAACCACAGGCCTTCAGCTTCAGCAAGCGGTCCCTCCAGTACTCCCTGGGCACCCGGAAATAGTGAATAGTACCTGCTATGATCAGGAAAGGAGAGCCATCGAGTGTGAAGCTTGAGCCTTCAACTTTCAGACCCACATTGCGATTAACCATGTGGGAGGGAGTCAAGAAAACTTGATTCATCCTGCAAGGACAAAGGAGATGTGTGAAGTCCTAAAGATGTTACCCATGTGGCACACAGTTTGGGCAAATCAGAAAGGCCTTTCCTTCAGGGACCCTAGGCTCTCCTCCAGTGCAAAGAGAAAGTTCCCAACCCTTCCCAAACGTACCTGGGTGAGAAGTCTCCTCCGAATTGAGCTATTACCAATAACCCTGAAGACAGGTACAGGATGCCCACAGGTCTCAGTAAGAAGGTCAGCATGCTAAACAGAGAGGATAGAACTGAAGTCAGACACCCTGGAGGCAGAGAAGGAGGCGGGAGCTGAGTGAGGTCTTGCCTGTGGAGGTGGGTGAGGAGCACAGACCTGGCCTCACTGGAAGGCAGGATTCGGCATGGCTGTCCCTTGGCTTCTGCACCACCTAGACTCACGACAGACTGGCGGGAGGGCAGCTGCAACGAAGAGCCTCCCGATAGTAACTGGGTTTTCTGACACCAGTTACATTTTAGAGAAGATCAAGCCTCAGTCCAGTAAATTTCACAGAAGAGAAGATAATCTCTGGGAAATTTGTGGGAGACCTTCTACTACTAAGGAATGAACCCTAATTTGCTGCTTAGCAGAGAACACTCGCTGGAATGTAGAGGGACATTCTCTGTAGCAGGGTCCCAATTTCTATCCCCAACCCAATTTTCTATTTCTCTGCTACTGTAGAATGTCATCTAATTAGCTCCCAGAACACACTCAGCGTTTGTGTGGCCAGTGACCTTCTTTATGCTCTCACCGTGGGGGGGGGGGAGCAAATGCTTTTTCCTTCATGTATCAAAAGTTCTGAGTCCGAGGTAGGCAGAACCAGCGCGGCCTAGCACCGGTCTGCGCCCTGCATGGCTTCTAGGATGGGGAAGCACTCTGCATGGGCGTGGCTGTGTCCTCACTACCCAGAGCAGGGCCTGAATCGCAGCAAGAGCTCAGCTCAAGTTTTCTGAACAAATACAGGAGTTGCCAGAATCAGTAAAACATCTGTGTCGCCTCATAAGCTTCAGCTTTACCCTGGGCTTCATGAGTATTCCCTTAGGCAGAGTTGGGAGGGTAGAAAGCAACTGTTTTCTGTAGGGAAATAGGATGGAAAACAGAATGGGGCCCTGGGATTAGAGAAGACAGACCCCCTGGGCACCACTCGGCTCCTCACTGTGGGCGTGAAGAGTCCGGGAGACGGACTGAGATCAGAGGACGCTCAGAGATTTCCGGGGAGAAGACAGAAGGGACAAGGCAGAACCTCGAGGGAACCTGAACGGAGGGCCTAGAGATAAATTCCAGAAAGTGAGGAAACCCGAGGGGCCGTCTGGGTTGACGCGGTTCGGGGCTGCCGGGTGGGCCCAGAGCTGGGAGAGGCCACAGTGCAGGAGGGGCGGGGAGGTCCCGGGGCTGTCGCGGGCGTGGGCGCTCCGGTGGGCGCCCGGGCCAGAGCCCACCTTACCCTGCGCCGGGCTGCTCCTCCGCCAACTTCGCAGCGGTAGGTCGGTAGCAGCCGCCAGGCGGGGGACAGAGCGGGAACAAGCCGGCTCCGTGCTCCGCCCGGGATAGCCTCGGCTGGCGAAAACCTCCCACCTTCCCGCGCCCTCCCCCCACCGCAGACTAGCCCGCCCCCACCCCCGTGGACCACCCCGCCCCCCGACGGGCCTCACTCTCCGCTGTCCTGCTCCCCACCCACCTGGGGCAGATCTTCCCCCCCCCCCCCCCCCCCCCCCCCCACAAACCCCCCCCACCCCCCCCCCCCCCCCGCAGCAAAATGGCCTCCACCCCCAGCCAAGCGCATCCTTCCCCCAGTACCCTCCCTCCCCTCCGCTGATCCGCCCCCACCCCCCACCCCGTGGGCAGACTCGCAGCCCCGCCAGGCCCCTGTGCGGCCGCAGCCCAGGCACTGCAGAGCGGAGTGCGGGCGTTGCAGTGAGCTCAGCTGGCCCTCTCTGCCCCTCTGGTCTGCCAGAGGCTGGCTCTGGCATCGGTCGTGACAGCTAATAGTTGTGGAGCGCCGTCAGTGGAGTGCGGACAGCTTGCCATCCGTTCCCCGCGGTCTTGCGCGGCTAATCCCGAGAGCTGACTCGGGGCCGCCTGCCCCTCCGCCCCTCTACTTTCGCTGGGACCCACTTCAGGCGTCCTTCCCAGGCCCCGCGCTGCGCGGGGGAAGCCGGCGCAGCAGAGCCACTGGCACACTTGCTGGGGCCACAGCAGGGGATTCATCCCCCGAGGGTCCGGGTTGGGGGCAGGGGTGTCCTCTCCGCAGCGACCACAGCTCCTCTCTCTGGGTCGCTTCAGCACGTGTTCACAAACCGCAGCCCCCCTGTGCGAGGTGCTGAGGACACAGATAAGGACTATCTCTTTCCCCCTGTAGGGAATGCCTAGCAAGGCCAGTTTACATCCTGGAGGAGAAGGACCATTTTCCTTTACCCTACGTGCCCTACAGCTAGTAACTTAACTAAGCCTGGGAGCAGTGGCCCACAAAGTGTGGCGTAGGTAAACCTTTTTAACACGCAGATGCGCTGTCCCCTTTCGGACCTACAGAATCTGAAACTGGGGCCCGCATTCCGTGTTTGAGCAGGCAATTCTAATGCACCCTGAAGTCGGGGACTACCAGTCTACAGCTTCTCCTCCCCTCGTCCTTGTCTCCACAGGAGAGTCCTGAGAGGAAACCTGAGGCAATGTGGGTGAGGGGAAGGAAGTAGAGGTAGAGAGGCGTCTAAATTAATTTCACCAGCGCAGCTGCACCTGTGTGGTTGTGATGGCCCTTTTTTCAGCTTTTGGGGTGAGAAACCAGGCTCCCTCTGGATGGGAGATCAAGCTCCATTTAAAAGTCTCAGCTGTTGTGGATATTACTACTATAAACATTGGGGTGCTGGTGTCCCGATCACTACATTTGTAACTTTAGGGTAAATACCTAGTAGTGCAATTGCTAGGTCTAAGTGTAGCTTTATTTCTAACTTCTTGAGGACCCTCCACACTATTTTCCAGGGTGGCTGTACCAGCTTACATTCCCACCGCCAGTGTAAGAAGGTTCCCCTTTCTCCACATCCTCACCAACATTTGTTGTTTCTTGACTTGTTAATTTTAGCCATTCTGACTGGTGTAAGGTGGCATCTCATTGTGGTTTTGATTTGTATTTCCCTGATGCCAAGTGATGTTGAACGTTTTTTCATGTGTCAGTTGTTCATTTGTATGTCTTCTTTGGGGAAATGTCTGTTCATGTCTTCTGCCCATTTCTTAACTGGATTATTTGTTTTTTGGGGTGTTAAGTTTGTTAAGTTCTTTATAGATCTTGGGTACTAGCCTTTTATCTATTATGTCATTGGCAAATATCTTTTCCCATTCCATAGGTTGTCTTTTAGTTTTGTTGGCTGTTTTCTTTGCTGTGCAGAGGTTTTTACCTTGATGAAGTCCCAAGAGTTCATTTTTGCTTTTGTTTCTTTTGCCTTTGGAGGCGTGCCTAGCAAGCAGTTCCTGCGACCGAGGTCGAAGGGTTTGCTGCCTATGTTCTCCTCTAGGATTTTGATGGATTCCTGTCTCATATTTAAGTCTTTGATCCATTTTGAATTTACCTTTGTGTATGGTGTAAGAAAATGGTCCAGTTTCATTCTTCTACATGTGGCTGTCCAATTTTCCCAACACCATTTTTTGAAGAGACTTTTTTCCACTGGATATTCTTTCCTGCTTTGAAGATGTGGTATATATATACACACACACACAAAGTGGAATATTACTCAGCCATCAGAAAGGATGAATATTTACCATTTACATTGATGTGAATGGCACTGGAGAGTATTATGCTAAGCGAAATAAATCAATCAGAGAAAGACAATTATATAGTTTCACTCATATGTGGAATGTAAGAAACAGCACAGAGGATCATGGGGGAAGGGAAGTAAAACTGGGAAGAAATCAGAGAGGGAGACAAACTATGAGAGACTCTTAACTCTGGGAAACAAACTGAGGGTTGCTGGAGCGGAGGTGGGTGGGGGATGGGGTAATTGGGTATGGGCATTAAGGAGGGCTCGAGATGTGAAGAGCACTGGGTGTTATATGCAACTGAACTCTACATCTGAAACTAATGATGTACTATATGATGGCTAATTGAATTTAAATTTTAAAAAAATCTTCAGCTGGATCTATACATAATCCAGATCCAAGCTACTAGAGTAGTTAAACTCTTCTTTTTATAGCAAATTTATCTGAAACTGAAAAGAGAACACCACAAGTGGCCTGCAAGTCCTTGAAACAGGCAGAACAACCTTCCTCTAGAGACTCAACTGCCTCAGTGTTAATACTTTTTTTAAAGATTTTGTTTATTTATTTGACAGAGGGAGCAGCAGAGGGAGAGGGAGAAGCAGGCTCCCCACTGAGCAGGGAGCCCAATGCGGGGTGATCTCAGGACTGAGCCAAAGGCAGATGCTTAAGTGATTGAGCCACCCAGGTGCCCCTTGATGTTAATACTTTGCTAAGAGCAAAAGGCAATCTTAGTCCGACCCCTCCCCCCTCCCCCCAAGGATCCTGTAAGTCTACTTTAACACATAAAAATTCCTTTGGAAACTTCTTTTATCCCTACCCCTGAAGATATATGTTGGCAATCATTCCCAAGCATATGATCCACCAATATACACCTGAAGGGTCTCATGACTAAGATTTTATTAGACAGTAGTAAATGACCTTTCCTAACAATAGCTAGTTAGCCCCTCAAGATTCTGGAAACTTGCTTCCAAATTCCTTAGAGATTTATGCTATCCCTAACCCCCTCCCAACTTGAAAGTATATAATCAGCCACTCCTCATAACTCCAGTTAAGCTCTTTCTGCCCAAGGATCTGTCCCCATGCTTCAATAAAACCACCTTTTTTGCACCAAAGACACCTCAAGAATTCTTTCTGGACCATTTGCTCCCGAACCCCAACATTTTCATAACATTCCCCACACTGTTTCACCTACCAAATTATATAACTTCATTTGCAATAAAATGTATTTCATCACCAAGAAGTAAGATTCTAAAATTCTGCTTTCTGGCTACAGTCATTTTTTCAATGTATCTCCCAAACTTGCTCTTCATCAGTTTTTGAATTTTCAGTCTTCCTGATAGAGTAGGCAGTTAGCCAGACATGAACAGGGAAGGGGTTTTTCCAAATGTTGAAAAAGCCGGAACCCACCAACCACCTCCACAGCACAAATAGCTGGAGAAATCCCTGAGAGAAATGCAGATGCATACTCCCTGTACCCACTCTCCTC